GCCGCCCCCCGCGGCCCTGCGCGTGGCGCCCTCCCCGTCTCTCCGCCCCTCCCCGTGGCCCCCTCGCGGCCCCCGCCCCCCGATCCGCGGCGACTCTGCCCCAGGCCTCCCGGCCCGAGAAGCCTCCGCCAGCGGCGCGGCGGCGCACCCGTGGCGGAGCAGCTCCCTGGCGGCCTTTTGGCGCCCTCCGCCGGGCCGGGCCATGCGCGCCTCCCTCCTCGACGGCTCCGCGGCGGAGCCGCCAGCCCCCGCGCGGGGGGCCGCCCGGGCCGCCGCCGGGGCCGCCGTCGGGGCGGCCGCCCTGGCGCTGCTCCTGGTCGCGCGGGCGGGTTGCCGGGGTCGGGTCGGGCGCGAGAGAGGGGGACCGGCAAGCTAGGTGCGCTCGCGTCATATCTGACGTCCTACCCCTCCCTCCCATCCCTTACCATGGCGCTGATTTTCTCTATCCGCGGACGCGTGTCGTAGCGGACCTGTGGCTCCGCGCGCGCGTGCGTAGTGGACCGGTGAGGGGCAGGTTTCCTCGGGAGGGTTTCCGGAGGGTTTCCTCGGTTCTTGGAGGTGTTCTCGCTTCGGGCTGCGCTCCAGCAGCTGCGCCTCGCCGAGAGCGTTCCGGGAGTGCCCAGATCGTGACCCGAGTTATGGCCCGAAAACCACCAGGGGACGGGCTCTGGCTCTGGGGGGAACGCATCGACCCTCCTTTGGAACGTGCGGAACCGCAATCGAGGGCTTACCGCCGATCTGTCAGCGATGTATCGCCGATCCCAGGTCGATGTTCACCCCTGGAGCCATCCCCCTGTCGCTGCCTCTCAGGATAGGGGGAGGGGGGGTACGACATCTGCTACATGCAGTTGGCTTAGGCCCCGCCCACGGGCGCCTTCCTCGATACACTGGCGCCTCCAGCGCTGGGAGGCGCCGGGAAAATCAGCTATGCGAGCAGATGCGCTCGCTCCCTTTACGGACACCCCCCTTTCGTTCGTTCAAGAAGGTCCTTGGCCCGGGGTGCCCCCTAGCTTTTCTACGCCACCCTGGGCGCCCCAGGGGCCCGCTCGGCGGCGTCGTGGGGGGCCTCCCCAGAGGTCCTGGGCGGGCACTTCCGGGGCTACTTCGGCCACGCGCAGAGGGGGGTGGGGAGGGGGGGGAGGCTTCTTAGAAGCATCCCTGCTTTCTTGAAGGCGCGGGCCTTATCCATAGTTGGTAAGGCCGCGCCTTCTAAGAAGCCGCCTCCGTCGAAGAAGCCCTCCCCCCTCCTTCTCCTCTTCCTCCTCCTCCTCCTCCTCCCTCCTCCTCCCCCCCTCCTCTTCCCCTCCTCCTCCTTCTCCCCTCCTCCTCCTCCCCCTCCTCCTCCTCCTCCTCCTCCTCCTCCGGCTCCTCCTCCTCCTCCTCCTCCTCCTCCGTCCTCCTCCTCCTCCTCCTCCTCCTCCTCCTCCTCCTCCCCCTCCTCCGTCTCCTCCGAAACACGGGACACCTGGGGAAACCCCGACAGCCTGACACTGCCCGCAGCGCTGCCCGAGGCAGGATGCCTGCCCAACATCTGGCATCTCGAGCCTTAGGACCTCCCCCCCTGGAGGTCTGTGGGAACACCTCTTTTGGGCCAGGGGCAGGAGGCCACATGCGAACCCACTCCTCCCCCACCCCACGATTTCGAAGGAGTCGTGGGGTAGGGCTCGCATGTGGCCTCCGAAAGGGGGCACCTCCGCACTCCTCTCCCGGGAGGCGACGGCGGGCCTGCTGGCCGAGGATCCCCTCGCGGTCTCGGAGCTCGGGCTGGTGCTCTTCTCCTCGATCTCGGCAGCACGCCAGGGGGGGGGAGGCCGAGGCGGCGGGCCTCCTTGTGCAGGCTCAGAAGTCAGGAAGACAGTAATCGGGTCGGGAGCATGGGGTTGGGAGAAATGAGGATACCGTTACCCGTAGGCGGTCGAAGGTATCGTGCATTGCATCCGGATGCTATTGCTCATGCCCTTCGTCCTCCTCACCCCTTCCTCCCAACACGACAGTTGTTCTCCTCAGGAAGGCCTCTGGCCTGCTTCCGAGAAGCAGAAAAGAAAACGGCACAAGCATACCTTCTCGGAGGTCCTCAGGGACCTCTCGGATGGGTGCTGGGCCCCCCTGGCGGCGCCGGTGCGCTCCGCGCGCCGGTGGAGACGGGGAGTCCGGCGCCGCTCCAGGCAGTCCGCGGGGTCCTCCAAGGAAGCATGCCTGTGCATTTTTGGTCGCTGTGCCGCCAACTTCTCAGAGGCTCGTGTGCGCCTTCTCCGGAGCCGCTCGGAGTCTGGGCTCCTCCGGAGGCCCGCCCCCTCTCTCTTGCACCTCGTGGCGTGCAGCCGGTGCATCTTTCTGAAGGCAGCGGCGAGCCTGAGGGTGTCGGGCCTCGCGGGCCTCGCGGGCAGGCTCGGGTTCCCCTGCCCAGGCTTCCTGGGCCTTCTGGGCTTTCTGACCCTCTTGGTCGGGCCCGCACTGGTCCTCGTGGGGCCGTTCGTGCACTGCGCGCTGGCGTCCATCGTGGGCGCCAAGATGCTCCTCGTCTTCCTCGCCGTCGCCACGTATACGGGGCATTGGAAGCCGATGCGCTCGGCCGAGGACGACACAAGCGCGGTTTTTCACATGCGGGCCGTCATGGGCAACCTTTCGATCATGGGTGGCTGTGTTGCCATTGTTGGATTCGCCCTCCGAGATCTGCATTGTACAGGTGTCTTCCAACCCTATTTTCAGTGGTGGCGGTATCACTCTTTCTTTGTTGTGGAGTTCGGCCGTGTGGTTTTGGTTCTTACCTTCCTGAAGTCTGCCTTCCAGCTGAGGATCAGGGGCTTCGTGGGCATCGCAACACATTTTGGCTTCCCGTGCGCGCCCATCATGGGCTTCGGAGCATTCGCGAGCAACCTTGTCGGGTCGGCCTGCGTGGTCATCGGGCCGCTTCTGCCGCGCGCCCTTCTCGCGGCCTCCACTTCGATTGCGGGTGCACTTCTCCTCATCGTGTTCTTGGTGGTTGCTACGTACGTGGGACATTTCAGGGCCCTTGGCGCTGGGACCGGTCAAGAGCAGCGTGAGCATGTGCTCCTGCTGGCGAAGAATGTGTCGGTCGTCGGAGCTCTGATCACTGTCATCGGCTTCGACCTGGCCGGCCTGTGAGCTGCGGTCGCGCGGCCCGCGTGGTCAGCATGCCCGCTCTCGCGAGAGACGCTCTTCCAGTGATCCGCTCTCCTCCCCGAAGGTTCGGTCGCTCCGGGTCCCCGGCTCACCCACTGGCTGGTGCACCCATCGTGGCCCCCCGTAGCCAGGACCCCCTCCAATCCGTGGCCAATCCTGGCTCCCCCTTGGAGGCCCCCCATCGTGGCC